AATATTCAGAAATCCCAAATCCCAAACATTTCCGGTCTCAAGCCTTTTGGATAAGGGATACTCAATCTGTAATACCTAATACAATGTAAATGCTGTGTAAGTAGCTGTTATACTGTATTGTTAATGGAATAATGACAAGGAAAAAAGTCTATGTGTGTTCAATACAGATGCAGCCATCTATTTTTTTTTTTTTAATTTTTTTGACCTGTGGTTGGTTGAATCCACAGATGTGAAATCTGCTGATCCAGAAGGCTAACTGTAGTTAAATTCACACTATTTACAAAACTGAAAAAAATTAATATAAAAACTGGCCTAGAACTGAGAAAATTCAAATCTTGGCAAAGGCAAATGTGAGATTTCTCTATTAAGACCTTCATATCCTAGAGTGCAGAGGACTTTCATAGAACACAACCCCCTGTAAGGATAAACTAATGGTCAGAAATTACAAAGTCTATAAGAAAATAAATTGCCAGGAGGGAGAATGAGCAGACAGATGTAAGTAATAGAATTTCTACCCCAAGAAGTAAAGATAAGAAAACAATCTGAAAGAGACCTTAAATATGTTTAAAATGTTTGTTACTGGTGGAGAGTGTCCAGGTTCTTGGCATTTTGAACAAAGAATTGGACAAAACGCACAAATCAACAAATGAAGCGATGAAAGCATAGATTTATTGAAGTGAAAGTACATTCCACAGAGTGGGAGCCGGCTTGAGCAGGCTCAAGAGATCTGGTTGCAGAATTTTCCAGGGTTTAAATACCCTCTAGAGGTTTCCCATTGGTTACTTGATTTACACACTATGTGAATGAAGTAGTGGCCTGCAACCAGTATGGTTGGTTGTGGAAGGTGACCAATCAGAGGCTGAAGCGAAGTTACAAAGTACATTCTATGCAACATTTAATTGGTTGCAGGAGGGAACCAATCAGAGGCTGAAATGAAGTTACAAAATTACACCCCTATGCAGTTAAAGACTAGGCATGAACCAGTTTGGTTGGTTATGCATTTATCCTTTTTTTTTTTTTTTT